GACAGCCCATCTTCGGACCAGAAGAGTGGAGGCGACCCCCGCCCGGTGTTGCTGGTGCGGTGGCGGCGAGGTTTCATCGGCCGGCAGGGAGACCGCTCGCTCATCAAACCCAGCCGTGGTGGGGGGGGGGGGGCTGTCGGCGGCCGGTGTGGCTCTAGGCGCGCCTACACTGCGCCGCCGCGAGCCTCACTGCCGATCCGGCGCCTGGCGGCGGGGGCGAGCCGCGAACAATCGTCGCTGGTGGTGGTGGTGCGGCGGCGGCGGCTCGCCCTTCACTCCAGCCGCGGCTCCGTTCCCGCCGCCGCCCACCGCACCTACCACACGCCGCCGAGCAGGCACCCGGCTCAGGGTGGAGTCGGTCGGGCCGTCGGTGCCGGAGCGGCGGCAGTCCATCGTGCACGTGCACGGCGCCTTTGCGCGCCGCGTTGCGGGGCGAGGCGCGCTTGGCGGAGCGTGTGGTGCGTGGAGAGGCGTGTGTTGTGGGGCTGTCTGTCCGCTGTGCTGGCTGCAGCCACAGCCTGCAGCTTCGGTGTTTGTGTAAGTCAACTTGTGCGGCTGGCCGCCTTTTGGCACTGGTGTGTGGCGTCCTGTCTTTCTTGACGTCTAGCGGAACCACCGTGAAGTTCTCCCGCAGGGTTGATCTAGGTGTGAACAACATCTCGCGCTCAAATCTCCGACTGGTCGTTGCACATCCCATCCCATCCCATCCCATGCGCCGCACGCCGCAAGAGGTGCGTCGCCTTCAAGGCCAGAGAGTCGCGTTGCGCGACCTCGCGAGCCGTACCGAGCTCAACGGTAAGGTGGGCCGTCTCGCGGGAGTTGACGGTGAGCGGTGGAAGGTGGAGCTGGACGGCAGCGGCGAGGTGGTGAAGGCTCGCGAGCGCAATCTGGAGCTGACGGGCCTCGCGGAGACCGCCTCGCTCGCTGCCGCGCTCGACGACAAGCCGTATGAGTCGTACAAATTGCCGCCGCTGCACCTCCCTCGCTACCACCATTATGTGCGAGCGGAGGCGAATGGACGCCGCGAGCCGACGCTCGAGGACGTGTGTCTGCTCGAGTACGAAAAGTTCGACGACGGCAGCAAGCTGTGGCCGGTGCTGGAGAAGGAGAGGGAATGGGACCTCGAGGCGCGCCTCCACGACTTCCTGCTCGCCGACGCCTACGAGCCGCCGAAGGGAGAGGAGCTCAACCGCAAGGCGCCGCTCGCGGCAAAGGCGGCGCGGCGCAAGCGGCGGGAGAGGCTCGAGTACTTCCTCTCGAGCGAGAAGCTCCGCGAGCAGATGCTGGAGATGGAGGCGCAGGAGAAGGCCGACCTGCAGCGCGCGCGAAAGGCGAAGAACAAGGCCGACCAGACGGCGCGCGACAAGGAGGCGCACGCGCACTTCCAGCGCATCACCGTCCACCTCGGCTCCGGCACGCACGCGCCCAACGTCGGCGGTGACATCCAGGAGGAGCTCCGCGCGATCCAGCGGCGCGACGAGCGGGTGCGCACACCCCCGCTCTCACCTCCACCCCTCCCACCCGCACCGACCCTCCACGCCGCGCACGCTCAGGAGGGCCGGCGCGCCTTTTCTTTCAAGGAGAATTTTAACATCGCGCGCGACGGCCGGAAGGAGGCGGGGAAGCTCGAGCAGCTCTACATCAAGCACTGCATGCCCGCCATCTCCCTTTGGCCGAGCGTCGCGTGGCCGACGTACTCCCACGCCTCGCGCTTCGACCACTGGTACACGACCAAGGAGCTCCGCACCTGCCGCCTCTGCTTCGCCCTCACCGCGCAGAAGATGGACGCCGAGGTGCACGCGGTCCTCCTCGCGTCGCTGCACGCGCGGCTGCGCCTCGAGGAGACCATCCCGGATGACAAGTGCGACGACTTCATCGACGGCCTCGTCGAGAAGGGCGAGTACGGCACCGCCGCGGACGAGGTCAACTTCGAGTCGTCCGAGCAGCGCCGCTTCATCGAGGAGAAGTTGAAGAGCGACCTCCGAGAGAGCCGCGCGGAGCGCGGCTGGCTGTGCGGCTGCAAGATGCGCTACCCGATCTGGCGCGAGGGCGGCGCCTACGGCGGCTGCCGCGACTGCTTCGACGCGCAGCTCGTTCAGATGATAGACACGCGCGCCCTCGGCGCCGACGACCCGCGCAAGAAGGCGTGGGTCGACGCGCGCACCTACGAGTGGGACGTCCACTACTTCTACCCGATGGCGGACGAGGCGGCGCGAGAGTTGATGCGGAGCGGCTCTTTCACCGAGACGCACAAGCAGGAGCTTAGGCAGCGGCTGCGTGCCGCGCGCGCGGCGGATGCGGCGGCAGGGTCGGAGGCCGAGGCGGTGGCTGAGGCGGCAGAGAGGGCGGCGAGGGAGAAGGCGCTGGCGGAGGCGGCAGGTTGGGCGGCGGCGGCGGCGGCTGAGAGCGCGGGGATCGACGACGCCTCGCTGCCGTCGGCAGCCGCAAGCGTGGCCGCCACGCCGGGCGCCTTTGCCTCTCGCGTGTGCGCCGACCCCGATTGCGCGGACTGCGCGGCGGAGTTTGAGTGTGTGGCGTGCATGGAGGAGGACGGCGAGGAGCCGTGCGAGGATGAGGGCGGCGTGCTGGTGTGAGTGTGTGAGAGGGCTGGCTCGTGGCTGAGTGTGACCTTCGGTCCTCGCTCTCGGTCGCGCGCGGAGTCTGGATTGTCGCCAGTCGCGAGTGCGCGGGTACGCGTGTGCGTGCGGGTCGGCGTGTGTGTGCATGTGTGCGTGTGGACGCGTGCATTCTCTTTGCGAACACAAGATACACCACACTCTAGCTGTCGCACTGACTGTGACTCACAGTCTGTGTGATGAACGCACACGCACGCATGAGGTCTACCGATGCACAGTACATTCGCGCCACCAAGGACCGCGCGGCACGCACGCGCAGTTGCTGGCCTCGAGGCGCGGTTCCTTGCGCGGCATGCCCTGTGTGTCAGCGCTTCGTCTCGGAGCCGCTCGACTGTACGAGAGTCGGGCTCCGGCCCTCGGTGCCACGGCAGCGACGGCGCGCTCGGCGGAGCGCTGCGAGGCGGGTGGCGGTGCGGCGGCTGCTGCTGATGCTCCTGCCGCGCAGAGCCGTCGTGCCGGCGAGAGGTGGCACACAGCTCGAAGGCGGCGTCGGCGACCGCCGCGCTGGCTCTCTCTCCTCGGCAGACGCCGCTTCGCGTCTCGGCGGCGGCAGCTGCTTCGCCGCGAGAGCGAGGCGACGTACTCGCCTCCGCTCTCGCGGCAGCAGCAAGGAGCGAACGCGCTGGCAGAGCGCTGGGCTGGTCGAGGAAGGCGAACCCGAAGGTGTGTTTTTCCTTTTTTGTCTGAATCGCTTATCCGGGCTGATGAAATAACATCAACCGTTCTGACCTCACGTTACTTCAAAACCTGTAACGTCGACCAGGCACGAACGCAGCGACCAGGCGCGAACGCAGCGACCATCCGAGCGAATCTTTCCGTCGCTGGCATGCATGTCGACAGAGTTGAGCCATTCGCAGGCGGTTTGAGAGTGTACTTTACGGAGAATGGCGTGCAGCGTCATCAGGCCTACTCGCGGTTCGCCGGTCGCTCACTCTCCGTGGAGCAGCAAGCTGCACTAGATGCGGCAGTGTCGGCGATCCGAGGAGTGGCGGCGATCCGAGGCAGTGGCGGCGGAGGAGGTGGCGGCGGCAATCGTCGCGGCGGTGGCGGCGGCAGTGGCGGCGGCAGTGGCGGCGGCGGCGGCGCCGACAGAGGCAGAGGCGGCGGCAGAGGCAGAGGCGGCGGCGGCAGCGACGGCGTAGGTGGCGGCGGCGGCGGCGTGGGCGAGGCGGGTGACGACGACGCGGCGCACGAGCTGCTGCTTCCGGGCGACGACGCGGCGCGCGAGGTGCTCGGTCGGGCGAACCGGGCGACGGGCTTCGAGTTTTCAGAGCCAGCCCGAGCTGTCGAGCGCGTCCTCGCTGAGGCGGCCGACGAGCTTGCTGCGGAGGTGTCCGAC